CTCATTCTTCTGCCAGGGATTTCTTGTTTAAATGCTGACATTTTTAAAATAACAACATTTTTTTCCCTTTTCCTACCTTACTGATAAGCAGAGAGCATCCCTCTGGTATAAATCCATGACTTCTCATGAAGTTCTGCTGGTATCCAGAGTTGGTAGTAAGACTTTTTTATACCCACTGTCTTGACAATGGCAATAGCCTCCTGTTTTTGTTACAATTTTTTTTTTTTAATTTGTTAGTTGGAGATTTTTTACAAATTTAAAGTCATGGGCAATCATTCCATGATTGGAATTCATTTCTCTGTCAGATGCAAATAACCCTGCAGCTCTTCCTGTTCTCTGTTTAGTATCATGACTCTGGTTTACTAGCAGCAGTGAGACAACACACTAGTACTGCAGTTCCAGAAGATTTTTTTTTTTGTCCAGAACTAGGTACTGCCTGTTTTTTGTTCATATTTGGGTGTCTTTGGATGCTTATCTTGCCTGTTAGCATTTGTTTTCTAAAACAATCAGGTCTCTCTCATTTTAGCTGCTTACGGTCAAATTCTTGATTTCCTTAACAAATTCTTCTCGCTACATGTGAAGTGTAATTCTGTTCTGGTTGTATTTGAAAAGACTTTACACAGAATTGAAACTGTTAATTTCAGCTTACATGCAGCTATTTCAGTCTGAAATTCTGCTGATGGTATAATTAGCCCCAGATATATACCTCATTCTCTGTAGCTTTCTTTACTTCATTCTACATAGATGCTGGTTGTTATTAGCATCCAGCTCTCGTTTCTCAATAATGCAAAGGTAAAGGAAAATTTACCTTGAAATGTGATCCATTTACATATGTTTTGTTTTGTGTAAAATTTTGTGTAGCAGAGGAAATTGATATAAACCTCAAACCAACAGCATCTTATTTGGATTCCTAGACTTTGAGAAGATAAATAAAGGAGTTAGTTAAGCTGTGTTCTGGTTTGTGTAGGGATTATTTTATGCAAATCTTACTTCTGCGTGTCTCTTCCCCATACAATGTGTGGAGTGGGTGTGTTAAAATATCCAGAATCCGTAGTTAAATCTTTTTAAAATGAACAAAAAGTCATCAAATATTTATTTATATTTGTCTTCCCTGTGCCAGTAGTTCCCTTTTCTGCAGTGTACACATTTTAATATATATCTTGAGGTATAACCTGAAACTACCTGGCCTACAGAAATCAAATCAGGTTTCCTATTTTTCTTCAGTGAAGCCCTGAAACCTATTTAATATGTGACAGGAATGAAGCAACTTCTGTCTGTATCTTAGTAGATATTTTGAATATTTAAATAAAACATGGAGTTCTACAAATAACTTAGGACAGAGGGAAATTGAGTCAAAGTGGCTTCATTTTCTAATAAAAAGGAAACCAGACTTTTTAAAGAGCATTTTTTGTCATTTCAGTTTGATTTTATCTCTTTTAATCTTTTAAAACACAACTGAATCATCAAGTCACTGGGTTGAATAAAACCTTTACTTTTATAACTTTATTGAACTACAGATCTCTCCAATCTGTGGTATTACTCAGGATTAAAATCAATATTGCACTGCTGACACAGATGTTGATGACACAAATTTACAGCTTGGCTTATGTAACTTTACTTTCTCAAGATGTGTTCTTCAGCTCATTCTCAGATACATATATAAGTTTTTAGTTCAGTTGCTATTTCAGTAGTTGTAGCTGGATAAGATCTGTTATGACAGAAATAAAATCACAAATGTGAACATGCATATCTATACTTTGTGGTATTCTCTTACTGATATTGAATAACCCAGAGTACAGATTGTTTTTGACCTCTAGTTTTACAGTCTTTGTAAATTTTGATGCTATCCCTTTATTTATTTCTTTGTTTGCTTTTAATCTTCCTCATTTTCCTTCATTATTCTCTTCAAACCTTCCATTGTATTTCCAGTGCTTTGTCAATTCCACAGAAGTTTTTCTCAAATACCAAACAACGTGAGAAATGTAGAAGCCTTGCAGCTGTTGAGCTCTGGAAATCTTATTTGCATGAGTTTTATTTCTCAAGAAAATGCAAATTATTGCTCACTGCATAAAATCAGACATAGTGTGGATTTCATTACATAATGCTCACTTTCACATTGCTTTTCTTCAGATATCTCAGCCTGGTTTTCAAAAAATTATATATTAGTTTAAAAGGCATAAGCCTTTTAAATTATAACTTTTAAATTTTTTTAAGTTGCCCTGGACTTCCTAATGTTTCAGGTACAGCCAGGCACGTCTTCAGACATAGAGCGTAGATACTTAGTTTTTTTAAAAGATGGTTAAAATTCTTGAATAATCACATGCTTCCAGAAGCTTGGACTTCATAGCAATATTAAATGTGGTAAAAATTGGGAAAATGGATGTTGGCGAACTAGCTGTTGTGTAATCACTCTTTAGATAAGTCCAATGTGGTGCTACAGCAATTTATGGTAAGAAAAACTTTTGGGGCAAGAAACTGGAAGGCAGCAACTCTGGGAAACATTTAAAGGTCATAAAGGACAAATAGTTTGGTGTGAGCTCCTGTTGTGAAGCTGTGGCAAAAAGGGGTAATGGAAAATCCTTGTGCTTGTAATCAGGGGAATAGTAAACAGGAATAGCAAGGACGAATAATTGAATTCTTTATACAGTATTAGTGAATGGACATTGGATTTTTCTGTATAATTCTGCTGTCCACTTTAAAAAAACATGACAAATTGGAGAAAGTACAGAAGAGAGACACAAAAATGATTGAAGGACTGGAAAGGCTTATAATGAGAGATGAAAGAACACCATCTGTTTGGTTTATCAAAAAGAAGATTGGGAGGTGACTTGATTACTGTGTATGCATACTTCCAAGGGAAGAAAATACTGGGAACTAAAGGACTGTTTTAGAAGAAAAAACATGTCAAGGACCAATGTCTGTGAATTGAAACCACAAAAGCTCAAATTAGAATAATGCATACATTTATAACTAGGAGTTTGATTAACCACAGGAACAAAATACTGAGGGAAGCAGTGGTTTCTTCCTCTTTTGATGTCTTCAGATCAAGGCTGTATGCCTTTATAGAAGATATGCTTTAGGCAAACAGAAGTTACTGAGCTCAGCATAGGAGGAACTGACTGAAGTTTGATGAACTGCAATGTACAGGTTACACCTATGATCTAATGCTCCTTTCTGGCCTTTAAAGTCTACAAGCTATCACTCAATGAAAGCCATAAGCCCCATGATCTGTGGAGACTTTGGAGAATTTCAGCTTTAGCTTACAAAGTCTTTAAGCTGCCTTTTTACTTGGATGACCAGCACTGAAAATGTAAAGCAATATGTACTGATCCCTTGCTATGAAAGAAGCCAACAGCTGGGGTCTCTTTCTGAGGGTAGCTGGGGTGGGGAAAAAGAACACTCTGTCTCACATACATATTAAAGGTAGGATATGCCTCAACAAATCACCTCACTTGAGTCTTTAGGCCAACTTTGCACCAGTTGTAACAAAATGAATCCATTATTTTCAACTGGGATGGGTTAGCAGAAAAAGGAAAAAAAAAAAAAGAAAAAAGAGAAAAATTTTATATCTTTTCCAAGTGATGTGTACTGGCTGTGCTCAGATCTCAG